GTTCCCAGTGTCTTCAAAGAAGTATGACCTAAGAGCTTCGTCGACGAAGAAAGAGAGATGTTCAAAGAGTCTTCTTCTCTACCAAGATTTTTTATACAAGAGCACCTTCTGCCAGTTATCTTGTATAATAATACTCTTGGCTTGCATGCCGAATATCACCTATAAAGGAGTCTTGCAGCACTGTTAATTTTTAGACAAACCACTACATTAGGCCACGACTCTCCAACAAAATTTGTGTTTTTCTTCTGTAAAAATTTTGGACCGAGTGATCGTTGGAAAGAGTTGAACCAATAAATATTAATTATTTTAATAACACTTATTAATTATTAAAAGGATATTGTTCCAAGCCTATTGTAGCTTATCATTTAGTAGAAAAACCTCAAATTTATAAAAATAAAAAAGGAGAAATGATTACAATTAATGAAGGAAATTATAATAGTAGTAGCAAACAAATAGAACATGCCAATTTAATTGGGTCTATTGCAAAAATCACATCTACACTTATTGAATATAATATAGTTCTTGGAGTTGCTGTAGATAGAGATTTAAATAGTAATAAAACATTAGCAGAACAACCAATTGTATCAAAAATTTTTGCAGATTTAAAACACAAAGCAACAACTATAAGAAAAAAAATAGGTAAAATAAAGTTTTTATATTTAATATATTTATACGTATATCTAATAAACTATTAATTTTAGTTAAAAATAAAAGATGAAAATACCTTGAACAACCAATAATGAACTTTTATACTCAAGCTGTATATGCTGCTTGTATTCGTGCTAGTGATAATAATTATCCACTAATTACAGATAAAGACTTGCACCAAATGCATTATGATATTGTAGTAAAACATCTATTTGATAATCATAGCCAGTGTTGAAGCGAAATATGCTGGAAGGTAGATAATCCAGATTTGGTCTTACCGGAACCTAATCTTGTTGGCAAATCTAGTGCACAATTAAATACTTTAAAACTTTTCTTAAAGGAATTACTCAATTAGCTCCTCAGCAAAGTTTAATTACAAAAATGCATACTAGTCAAAATGAATCTGTAAATAGAATAAAGTTAAATTATACAGACAAAAAACAAGATTATCCAAAATCTTATAGAACTCGCCATGCATTAGCAGTAATTCACAATAATAATAGTTTTTTGGAAATGTTGCAAATTTTGCAGCAAGTAGGAGAAATTTTGAGTTTTTCAAACCAAGATTTACTAAATATTGGCAAAACAAAGAGAAGATAAACGGAATTGTAATATTGCTGAAATTAATAAAAGAAATGATATGTAGATAAAAAAAATAATTTAGCAAAAAAACCAATTACAAGATTTTGATTGGTTACAAGTAAGTTAAAATTAAAATTATCTAATTAGTATTCTACAACAGATATTTAAATTAAATATAGTATTATGCTTTTAATAAATCAAAATTATATTATATTTTAATTACCTGTTGCAGAGTGCTATTATAAATTATATAAAATAAACTAAATTAAAACTTAAATAGGATTTAGTTTCATATGGAAAAATAGTACAAGATAATATTACCAGATCTATATTCCAACCATCTTTTTTTGAACTTATCTCTAATTTCGATAGCTTTATTTTATGTAAAGGTTGTGGTTCATTTCCAAAAAGATTCCCAGAACAAGGTTTTTGTAAATTGTGTGGATTTTATTGGAATTATGAATTAATAAATACAAAATTTCATTCTACAAAAGAAAAATTACCAATACAATCTTTATTAAATATGATTGAAGTAGTTTTGTTAGAAGTTTTTAATTTTCAACATTATAAAGAATTGCAGTATGAAAGTATAGAAAGCTTTATGTTAGGTAAAGATACATTAACTATTATACCAACAGAAGGTGGTAAAACTTTAATTTTTTTTGTGGCTAGTGTGTTGTTTTGTGGATTGATGATAATATTTACTCTATTAAAATCTCTAATGAGATGCCAATTGGTATATAAATAAATTAATAATATTATTATATTATATACAATAAACCTAAACTATTTTTAACTAATATTGAATTAAATTTATTAAATTTATAATATAGAAAGAGCTAATTGATATAGGAATACCTTCAGCGTATCTTTTTGTTGCTACAGACCAACCTCCTGATATACAAGAAAAAATTTTTTCGGAAATTGCTTTAGGATATACTAAAATTTTGTGGATTACACCAGAAAAGTTTATTCAAAATCTAAAGTTTTGTCAAATGTTAAAAAAAATAGCTGAAACACGTAAAATTCAGTTTGTTATAGATGAAGCCCACTATATAATAGAATATACATATTTTAGGTAATTGTTTGTAATTAATTAACAATAAGAAAAATTCTAAAATTAACTTATTAATAGACTAGCCTGGAATCAACTATCCAAGTTAAAAGATGAATTTACCTTGGCACCAATTTTTCTGTTAACTGCAACTTGTAGTGAATTTATAGCCAACCAATTAATTATAAATCTTAAATGTCCTAATTTGAATATAATTCGCAGTAAACAAATTCATAGACCAGAATTAAATCTTCAAGTGCAACCTAAACCTATAAAAAAAGATAAGCTATTGGAAGCAATATTTAAAATTATAAATGAGATCACTTCTAAACAAATAATTATCTATTGTGCAATGCCAGATAAATGCATAGATATAGTTACAGCTCTTAAAGAACAATATAATTTAGATTTAATTGCAACTTACCATGGAAAAATGTCTAGTAATGAGCAAAAAAAAGCTTTAACAAGTTGAAAAACTGGTCTCTATCGTTATCCCTTAAACTGTAGAGTTCGTGTAACATTTTTAACTTAAAAATAGTATAAATTTAGTTATGATTTATTTTTTTTAATATTTAAAATATTTAAATAAAATTTCATA